AACAGCATGCATACCGTGGATCGGCCAGGCCGGAACCCGCACTGTTCCTCCGGGAGGATTTCGTTGGCTTCGCAGAATGCGCTCAGGCGGTTGGTGATGGTCTTGGCGAGTATTTTGCCTACATGCGGAGCAGCGAGATGCCCCTGAAGTTGTTGTAGTTCGACCGGTCACCCTTCTTGTACAACACCTTAATGATGGCATCCTTCCACTCCTGCGGCATCTCTCCCCCATTCCACACTTCGACGAAGATGGCACGGAGGCGCTCCAGGACAATGGGCTCGTCGTCGCCGTCGACCTTGAGCAGTTCGGCGGCAAGGAGGTCCATTAGACTATGTATTTCCGCCGCGGGACTGTCATGATGATTCTGCGGCGGAACTACTCTGTTAATTTTTTTTTCGTGGCAGGAGGCAGGAGGCTGGAGGCTGGAGGCTGGAGGCAAGTCAGAAAGTCAGCAATTGCAGCGCGTAGGCTACGGCCGACCTCTGTTTACGCGATGTATTCCAAAAAAATTGCATGTGTCACCAAGTACAAAGGTGTCCGTCGTTTTCAGTCGTGCTCCTTTTTCCCAGCAGGCACATGCCATGGAGCGCCTCTATCTACACTGCTGCTGCAAGTTGTTGTGCTCTTGGTTGAAAGGAGAGTCCTGGCCCCGCCTGACGTTTGTGCGTCATGCGATTGGTGTCCTCACTCGCGCGCGCGGCTACAAATGTATCTTCCTTTATGCTGAAAATGATTTCACCGCTGTATGCTAGGATTAGGGTTAGGGTTAGGGTTCAATGGTTATGAGAAGGTGCTTCGCACGGGGTGGGATCACAAAAATATATGTGTTTCTGTTCGTGTTTGATCTTTTGGGACTCTGCTCGCACTGGCTCTCTTTTTGTTCTGGCTCTACTTGTGCATGATGTCTTCATGTGCACCCAGTAGGATCCCTGGCATTCGCCCTTTTGGGACTCTGCTCGCACTGGCTCTCTTTTTGTTCTGGCTCTACTTGTGCATGATGTCTTCATGTGCACCCAGTAGGATCCCTGGCATTCGCCCTTTTGGGACTCTGCTCGCACTGGCTCTCTTTTTGTTCTGGCTCTACTTGTGCATGATGTCTTCATGTGCACCCAGTAGGATCCCTGGCATTCGCCCTTTTGGGACTCTGCTCGCACTGGCTCTCTTTTTGTTCTGGCTCTACTTGTGCATGATGTCTTCATGTGCACCCAGTAGGATCCCTGGCATTCGCCCTTTTGGGACTCTGCTCGCACTGGCTCTCTTTTTGTTCTGGCTCTACTTGTGCATGATGTCTTCATGTGCACCCAGTAGGATCCCTGGCATTCGCCCTTTTGGGACTCTGCTCGCACTGGCTCTCTTTTTGTTCTGGCTCTACTTGTGCATGATGTCTTCATGTGCACCCAGTAGGATCCCTGGCATTCGCCCTTTTGGGACTCTGCTCGCACTGGCTCTCTTTTTGTTCTGGCTCTACTTGTGCATGATGTCTTCATGTGCACCCAGTAGGATCCCTGGCATTCGCCCTTTTGGGACTCTGCTCGCACTGGCTCTCTTTTTGTTCTGGCTCTACTTGTGCATGATGTCTTCATGTGCACCCAGTAGGATCCCTGGCATTCGCCCTTTTGGGACTCTGCTCGCACTGGCTCTCTTTTTGTTCTGGCTCTACTTGTGCATGATGTCTTCATGTGCACCCAGTAGGATCCCTGGCATTCGCCCTTTTGGGACTCTGCTCGCACTGGCTCTCTTTTTGTTCTGGCTCTACTTGTGCATGATGTCTTCATGTGCACCCAGTAGGATCCCTGGCATTCGCCCTTTTGGGACTCTGCTCGCACTGGCTCTCTTTTTGTTCTGGCTCTACTTGTGCATGATGTCTTCATGTGCACCCAGTAGGATCCCTGGCATTCGCCCTTTTGGGACTCTGCTCGCACTGGCTCTCTTTTTGTTCTGGCTCTACTTGTGCATGATGTCTTCATGTGCACCCAGTAGGATCCCTGGCATTCGCCCTTTTGGGACTCTGCTCGCACTGGCTCTCTTTTTGTTCTGGCTCTACTTGTGCGTGATGTCTTCATGTGCACCCAATAGCATCCCTGGCATTCGCCCTCTCCAACCTCGAGAGGAGGCAGAAGACGCGGTAGCCGAAAGACGTGCGTCCCTCGTGGGGCTATCATCACCCCGCCACGGGCGAGCAACCTCTAGCAGCCGCCTGCCGACAGCCGCAATGCCGCCTCAGCCGGACGGGATCCCCGGCACAAGCGACATGCCTTTCTTCTCGAGCCTGCACGGGAGGGAGCGTCGCGCCCTCCGTGGAATAGCCCGGATTGATCTGCAATCGGCTGTCAAGTACGGGAAGAAGCAGCAGGCCTCGCCGGACCGCGCTACGGGTGCCCGCAGGTGGAGGTACACCCACGCGAACATTGTGTACATCACCGATGAAACATCCACGAAGGAGATCACCTGCTACGCGAAACCAAACTCTCTTCCGCGGGCCAACTTAACCCTGGAGCACATCCGGGATCATGAAGCCGCCAAAAGCCGCTTGAAGGCAGATCCTTCCTTGTGCACATCGCACACCGTCATCGTCGTGGACCAGTCCGGATCCATGAGGACGTGCGACGTTGAGGACTTCCGCACCCGCTCCAACGCCGTCTTTGGAGTGCTAGCCATGGATTTCGTGGCCAAACAGCGGCTGTCCGGGGAAGCCACGGACAGGGACACCGTCTCGCTGATCCTGATGCGAGATTCAGCGGAGGTTGTGTTCGAAAGGGAGCCCATGGGCCTCGTCCTGTACAACAAGTTTGTCGGCCTCCACGCCCAAAACACGCCGCGGTCGCACGGCATGTTCCTGCCGGCGCTGAATACTGCGCAAGGGCTCCTCAAGAGACATGTCCATGGCGGGTGCGGCTTGTCGCTCATGTTTCTCTCCGACGGTCGGCCTAGCGATCGTAGGCTTTCTTCTCCGATGCGGGCGATTACGGACCAGGTGCGATCTCTGGCGGAGGGCTATGGCCAACAGCTCTCGGTCTCAACTCTGGGGTTCGCTAGCAGACAGCAAGACTTCTCCGTCCTCGAGGCCATGGCCGACACGGCGCAAGCCGCAGGAGCGCACGGGACGTTCTACCGACCAGAGCTTTCTGCAGAGGGACTGGGAACCGCTATCGCTGGCTCTTCGTCGTCCGTGACGGCTGTCAAGTCGAGCCTCACGAGGTTGGCAACGAAGGACGGGCGGTCGCGACAGCTACGGAAGGTGGAGAGGGAATCCGCGGGGGCTAAGTGGGGCCACGACCCTACGACGATAGAAACGGGGGACGGCTGGGTGGTGTACACGGACGAAGTTCAGCGATTCGAGTTCTCGTACAAAGGGATGCGCTTCTCCAAGGACCCTTGGGTCACGGCCAAGCCCTTTTCTGAGGAGGCCAACGCCATTGCCCTTCGGAAACGGGCTCTGGGAGAGGGGTCCGAGCGTTTGGTGTTCGGATTGCAGGTGTGTAAAGCCCCGATTCCTTGTGCCCGCCTTCTGTGAGCGAGCGTCGTTTCTCATAGCACTGTACTGGTCGGGTCATGCCGCAGTGGCAAGGGTGCGGCAAGCCGAAAGCAGTACCATGTTGGTTGCGTCTACACGCAAGCTTCCTTGGTCACTGACTGGCCCAACGAAGCTTTGAACAAGAAGCAAGAAAAAATACGTAGAACCATGAATATCATTACCTTACCCCAGGGGACCTTCGAGGAAGATCCCTTCAAAAGGAAAGATTCGCTCATGTCCGGCGTTTGAATCGAAGACGATATTTATTGACGGGACCATCGGTTCAGAACCACAGGAGCATTAACACCAAGAAAAACAAGCGTAAGATATTGTCCCTCACCCGCACAAAGATGATCGATGTTCTTCTGTGTGATTCCGCCGACCTGGGCATGTGAGAGGGGCTTGACCAAGAAAGGTAAGAGACAAATCTATCCACCTGAACAACGCCAGACATTTCGCGTGTTTTGTCCTACACAGAACGTCCCCCCGCACCTCAGTCATGCCGTGGCACTCTTTCAAGCATGTGGGGGTGGTCTGGCAGCGCGGACGACTCTCTCTCTATCTATCTATCTCTATCTCTCTTTCTCTCTCTCTCGCCAAATGACACCACGACCGCTCGCTGCAAGTAGACATGTATCATTGGCAACGAAGGACAACCACCCTATGTGCATAAGATTACACGAACAGGCGATATACCAACATGATGAATCAATCCCGAATAACCGAATCAAAGGGGAGAGTTCTTCTGTCAAGGAGTCGGTACGAACACCGTGCGTGCCTATTGAAAAACACGGAGCCTGTGCCATGGCCTTTTTTGAATGGTTCAAGGAGACTCTCGTAGCATGGTCATGATTGATTTGCCTAAGAGTCTCGTCGTACACTCCAAGATTGTCGGCAATGCAGCAGCCGCGCCACGTGTGTGATTAGGTCTTTGGTGAATAGAATGACCTATGTATGGCTTCTACAAAGTTTTCGCCCAACAACTCCTTGCACTGACCAAACACATGCCGGCATCCAATTTACCGTCCACCGAACCCCCCACCCAGTGTTTCCTCCAATAACACCGACGCCCGTCCGTCTGTCCTTGATTCGGCAGGAAGTGAGCTCTCGCACAGGCAAATTTGTTGGGCCGAAGCTGGTCGCCAAGGAGAGCAGCTACGTGAACGACGACAACCTCAAGATGGCCTTTCACGAGTCGTTCGCCAAGACGCAGCACACCTCGAAGCTTCTCGCGGTCAAGTTCAACGAGAGGGTGCGAGAGCGCACGAGCATCCTCGGGGTACCCACCACCCATATCTGGGAGGTTTCATTCATCGACTGCTCCGTGTACCAGTTCCTGGAAGGGTCGATTCTGCGAGGGGTGTTGGTCGAAAAGATGCTGGAGCCTGCCTGTCGCTACACGAAGTGGAACGGCAACAATGGGTACGTGCGCAGCGCGTTTGGAACCCCTCCGGTCACCCCAGATGAGGGGGAAATTGCAAGGCAGGTTCGGGTGGAAGGGATGATGGAGGTTATTCTGGAGGGCGACGAGGAGGACGGTGACGGGTTGGCTACCGCGGGTTCAAAAGACAAAACACCAGCAGGCTCTTCGGCAGCGGTGGCGGGCGGCGAAGCTAGCGCCGAAGTCGGCGGCGGCGCTGCCACTGCCTCCGCCGCAACCGGTTCCATTTGGGGGAAACGGCCGCTGCCAACTACCACCGCTGACGACGCTAACGGTGGCGACGGCGCTCGCGCTCATGACCACGCCCCTCTACACCACGGCTTGGTGTCATGCTCTTTCGCTCCCAAAGCGGAGTGCTACCCGCAGGCGTTCTCCCACTTCTCGTTCTGGCAGTCTCGCCGCCGGATGCTGGTTTGCGATCTGCAGGGAGTGCTATCAAGCAGCGGCGCCGGGGAGGACCGCGCGGGAGTTTTCGAGTTCACGGACCCCGTGATCCACTACAGGTCCAAGTCTGGACGGACCCAGGTTTACGGGAAAACTGACCTCGGCAGGAGCGGTATGAACCGGTTCTTCGAGACCCACCGGTGCAACGACGTTTGCCGGCTGCTCGGCATTGGAGAGTAGGAACCGGCAAGGAGCACGGCGGGGGGGCGCGTCAGCTTAGATATGCCTGGAAGGTCTCCAAATGTGCTTCGGCAGCTGCCGGCATTTACTCTTCATTTTAAATGTTGCATTGCTACATGATTTTTTCTGTCGCCCGTTTCAGGAAAGGCCGACACATTATCAGCTGGTGGATTTACGGAAGGAATTGGTAGCACTACTGTAGACAAGTCTAATCTCAATTCTACATTGGCGTGCGTGACAAAGTTGACCGGAGCATCGTGGCATTCCACCCCCCCCCCCCTGCCTTGTTTGTGCTTTCGGAAATTAAAAAGAGGTACGTCGCAAGGCGATACAAGAACTCCGTAGGAGGTTTGCCGTGTACCTTTCAGTGATACGGGCGTCCACATTGGTTTGTTTTAGAGCACACGTTCTGAAATTTCGGGGGCGCTCGCAATCTACGCAACGGAGTACCAGGGGTACGCCTAATGAAGATTTTTCAGCGTCTCGTGTTCTGCTTATTCGTGCTTGGCTCGAAGCAGAGGGATCCGTTTCGAACTCTTGTTGCGTGGCGGTCAAAGGGCTGAACTTTTTGATAGGTCAAGAGGTTAGCGCGGGTTGATATGGACAAAGGAATCAGACTACGTTGCTTGACGAGGAGACATCGTCCAATCTCCTCCGTCGAGCTTCTTTCACGTGGACCCGCCCGTGGACTAGAAGGAAAGCGTGTTCGCGTTTGTTGAAGAAAGTGTACAATCATAATCACAGCGAAGACACCCGTCCGAGATGCTGTGAACCAATCGGGTGTGTGGGCGTGTTTGTACTCCAGACAAATGTGTAGAAGAATGTTTCTTGCTGGCATCCCACATGGTCTGTCGGTCTGCGCGGTGGGTGCAATGAAAAAAAAGAAACACAGCTACCGACCGCTGTCGATCCTTGATCCAAAAACACATGCAGACACGCTTACATAGCGTGTTCGCGATTTCTCCCCGCTGTTGGACTGACGCATTTTCATTGGCTAGCCGGGCAGCGCGGTCTACGTTGACCAAAGCAACACGCACGGACCCGGAGGGGGCTAGACTGTTCTTTGGACCGGTGGTGGCAGTCCCCTTCACTCCCTCCCTTGTCGAGGTAACCCCCAGCTTCGAAACCGTTTATGCTTTTTTTTTTTCCCAGCATTGAAGGGTGAAGTCGCTTTTCATGGGTATGCCGGGCAGCTCGGCCCACGCTCACAAAAGAAGCATACAGAATTACACACACAGAAACCCTTCAGACCTGCAAGAAGAGCCCAACTGCCAGCACCACAACAAAACTCACCGAATTTCCTCCTGGGAAGCTAACGTACCGCACAACCACAACATAGATACAGACGCCATCAGCCCGTCGCCACGGTTGTACCCGAAACAACGCGAACACCTGGGTAACAACACTTTCGACGGAAAAAAACTCGACTACTGGTACATACGGCCGAGCAAACACGTAACGTGACTGTACGGTCACTTACCTCCCTGGTATCTCCCAGAAAAAGCACGCAGATCACCACAAAAAGCACGTACAAAAGCGGATGCATGCACACGACGGTCGGCGAAAAGTAATAAAATAGGGTGTTTATGGTACCGTTTGCCATACAGCCCAACCGAGAACACCCCGCACACCACGAGAACCGAACGAATTGCCGCTATTCAAGAAGGCAACGCCACCTTAGCCGCACGGGGGGGTTCGTGGAGTGTAATATCAAGCCGAAACACGAGGGGACAAGCAACCCGGGAAATCAATCCCCCCTCCCCCCCGGCTCTTCTACCGGTACAGTATCGTCACTCATCAGACAACGGTAACGCCCCCCGCCACGGCCCCCCTCGCCCCCGCACCGTCGGTAGCGGTCCGACTCCGATCATGCCTCCACCATCTGAACACCCCCGCGAAAGACCCCCCCCCTCGCTCTGCCGTGTCTCCTTCTCCCACACCCCTGCGATACGACCCGTCGGAACGGGAGACCTCGCGGCGAAGCTTCTTGAGCTCTTGCTCCTGCTCGAAAACCTTCCGGGCGGGGTGTCGTTGAGAGTGTGTCGGGTTGGGGGTGGGTGGGGGGGTATGAGGTACTTAGGGGCACCGTGGTCGAATCGCAACAACAGATGCGACGTTGCTATGTACGTCACACACAACAGATCTAACATCCCGGCGTCACGCCCGCGGCACGCCTGCCACACAACGCAAACCCTGCTGCCGTCAAGTCCATTCGACGTTCTGTGCTTCGTATGCATCATCAGGCGCGTCAGCACGGTGAGAGTGGAGTCAAGAACAAGAGATTCGACACGATGCAAATCCGCCTTGCCGGCGAAACAGCGGCGGTGAAAACAATGTCAGATGTGGCCTGACCTTCCCACACCCTACTCCTCAAGCCCGCAAGCCTCTGGAGTCCGCTACCACCAAAACAAAGCGCACATTTGCCCCGGGCCACAAAAGTGAAAAAAATCAAGTCGTGCTGCCTCTCGGGCAACCACAACACTGCATCGGGACCCCCCGCCGCCGTGCCCCACGCATGCAAACGCGGCCACCTCCAATGTTTGGCAGTAGTCTTCGCCAGTATTTTCGTTCAAGTAAACATGTTGGATAAAAGTATGCAGTTGGGGAAAATTGGGTTAGGGATAGGGTCTGCGTACCCCCCGCAAACCCCGCCTGTTCTATTTCCTCACAAAACGTAACTTCTGGCGAATGCGGTCCAGTGCTTTTTTGAGCCACGAAAGCGGCGCACCTGACTCTCCAGCGCAACCCTCGCCGTGTCTGACTCGTGCTTCAGCGCGTCCAGCTGTACCCGTAGTCGGAGGCACTCTGACGCAGCGTCGCCGCCCCCGTTCTGTGACCCAGCCCCTGCTCCCCCTCCTAGTAGTAGCGTTGTGCGAACGAAAACGTTGTCCCGCGGGATGATTTGTCGCGCGAAGATAGTGTATCAGTACATGAGGGGGGGGGGG